CTATATTATAACAGCAATAAGAAGCTAAGATGGCACCAATACATTACACAGTAACTTGCATAGCAGCATTGTGGTGAGAAACACAATACCCCTGCCCAAGGATCATTGGCACTTTCTCCTCCTCCACCTGCCTCCAGGGCCCAGCGAGGCGTCACCACTTTCTCAGCCCCTCTCACAACTCCATTTGTCTTTCCTTTGATTTCAGCACCTCAATTTCCCTTTCAGGGAAACTGTGCCACTGAATCATGTACTTTGGGTGGGCTCCCCACTAGATATAACCTGCATTTCAGCTCTAAAGGAAGGCATGTGGCCTGTGCATCAGCCAAAGTGCATATCCCAACCCTCTGATCAGAATAAGTAGTTCAGAGGCACTTGGGGGGCTCAGTGGGTTAAAACCTCTGCCTTCAGGTCAGGGCATGATCCCAGGGTCCTGGGATCGAGTCCCACATCGGGCTCTCTGCTCAGCAGGGAGCCTGCTTCCCCCTCTCCCTCTGCCTGATTGTCTGCCTACTTGTGATCTCTCTTTCTCTGTTGAATAAATAAAATCTTAAAAAAAAAAAAAGGTTATAAGAAAAAAGAAAGTCCTAATCAAAACAACAGATGACAGATGCCTGGGTGGCTCAGACCGGTAAATGTCCCACTCTTTTTTTTTTTTTTTTTTGGTTTTATTTATTTATTTATTTGTCAGAGAGAGAGAGAGAGAGAGAGCGAGCGAGCACAGGCAGACAGAGGCAGAGGGAGAAGCAGGCTCCCCGCCAAGCAAGGAGCCCGATGTGGGACTCGATCCCAGGACGCTGGGATCATGACCTGAGCCGAAGGCAGCTGCTTAACCAACTGAGCCACCCAGGCGTCCCAATGTCCCACTCTTGATATTGGCTAAGGTCTCAGGGTTGTGAGATTGAGCCCCATGATGGGTTCCATACACATCGCGAAGTCTGCTTGAGATTCGCGCTCTCCCTCTCCTGCTGTCCCTCCCTGCCTCATGCATGCTCTCTCTCGCTCGCTCTCTCTCTCTCAAAAAAGAGACAACAGACAAGTATTTTAGTTGGAACTAAGGCAATTTAAAAACATATATGAGGAAGGACTGTGAGATATATAATCTCATCTATAATTAACTGAGGAACATGAAGGAACTCAGAGGAATGACAAGCAGGCTGGGCCTGGAAAGGAAACTGACACCCATTCTCTACAAATTCCAGAAGTTTCCACTGGGATATTTATTCCAACAAACACGTATTGATTGCCTTGTATGTGGTTGGTACTAGTCTAGGCACTGAGAATACTGAGGTGAACAAAAGGACAAATTCCCTGCCCTCTTGGATGCAAGTCTAGAATGCTGGGGGCAGGGGAACCCATTTAAAAATCATACTTTGAATGGTGACAAAGGTTACGGAGAAAAATAAGGGGGAGCAAGGAATGCCAGGTTGCTTTTGAAATTTTCACCACGAGCCAGTGAAGGAGGGCTTGTTCGTCCCAAGTTCAGCACAAAGAGCTTCAGTGATTTGCCCAAGGTTGACAACTAGCAAGTGGCAGAATCAGAATCAAAAACTGGGTGGGGGGGGGCGGGGAATGTTACAGAACGCTTGATCTCTCTTGCAAGTTAGGCTGCATCCCAGCCCAGCAGTGTGTTCACTGGCAAATCCACTCATTTTTCTCTGGGCTTCGTTATTATTCTTGACCTCTTGTCAGCTTTTGACCCTCCCACGCGTCCTTCCTTTTCTCTGGACTTCAGTAACACTGTTGTCTTAGTTCTGTTCCCCTTCCCAATTAGTTCTGCCCCCTTTCAACTTGCCTTTTCCTTTCTTTCTTTTTTAAAGAAATTTTATTATTTTTTAAAGATTTTTAAAATTTATTTGACACCCAGATAGAGAGCACAAGTAGGAGGAGCAGTAGAGGGAGAGGGATATAAGCTGATTCCCCGCCGAGCAGGGAGCTTGATGGGGGACTCGATCCCAGGACTCTGGGATCAGGACCTGAGCTGAAGGCAGATGCTTAACCAACTGAGCCACCCAGGCGCCCCTAAAGATTTTATTTTTAAGAAATCTCTACTCCCAACGTGGGGCTTGAACTCACAACTCCAAGATCAAGCCTGCCATGCGCCCCTTGACTTATTCCTCTCACCACTTGAATATGGATCATCAACTACAACTCCCCATAGTGAACTCTATCAGGGAACGCCACTCATTCAGATCTTAGTCTTTGTGAGTTGCACAGTACACAGCTCAGGCAGTTGTATATAACAACGCTATACCTTTTGCACTTCTTATCTATGCTACTGACTTCAGTTCTTTTTCTGTAGATTCTCCCAAAACTTTATGGGTAGCTTCTCCTTTGCACCATTGGAGAATATGGTAGAGCAGCCTGCATCCCCAACCCCACCCATCCTGGTAAGAAGCTCTTTACCTCTCAGTGCCCACACAGGCATCACTGGGACAGACAGTGGATATTTTCTTGGCACCACCAATGCACAAAACCAAGAATAAAGAGTGCCCTTGGTAGATGGCCTCTATTGGTAATTATTGTCTGGTCAGACACTATTGTTAGTTATCAATTGTATTGATGTCTAAATAATCTCTGGATTTAGTTAGAAGCAACTTCTAAGTTTCTTATAATTCTAAAAGCTACCATTTAATATATACACACATATATATATACACACACACAGATATATATATATATTTTTAATATTTTCTTTATTTATTTGACAGACAGAGACCACAAGTAGGCAGAGAGGCAGGCAGAGAGAGAGGAGGAAACAGGCTCCCTGCTGAGCAGAGAGCCCGATGTGGGGCTCGATCCCAGGACCCCGGGATCATGACCCAAGCCAAAGGCAGAGGCTTTAACCCACTGAGCCACCCAGGCGCCCCCAGATATATACATATATATATATATTTTTTTTTTTTAAGACTTTTTTCATTCATTTTTCTGACAGAGAGAGATCACAAGTAGACAGAGAGGCAGGCAGAGAGAGAGAGGGAAGCAGGCTCCCCACCAAGCAGAGAGCCCAATGCGGAACTCGATCCCAGGACCCTGAGATCATGACCTGAGCCGAAGGCAGCGGTTCAACCCACTGAGCCACCCAGGTGCCCCGATATATATATTTTTTAAAGATTTTTTTTAATTTGTGAGAGAAAGTGAGCACGAGCCGGGGGGGGGGGGGCGGCCTGAGGGACAAGCGGACTCCCCACTGAGCAGGGAGCCTGATGCAGGGCTTGATCCCAGGACCCTGAGATCATGACCTGAGCCAAAGGCCAACACTTAACTGACCGAGCCACCCAGGCACCCCTACAATTTAATATATTTCTGTGGGCCAAGTTGGGTAGGCATATTATTCCATTCAACCCTTACAACTGTGTGGAGCAGAGATTACTATATTTATTTCTCTAAGAAAATTCTAAGAGGTCCTGTAACTGCCTACCAACACATAGTTAATAACTGGTGGAAATGGAATTTAGACCAGGTCTACTGGCCTTCAAAGGCCATGCTTCTTCTGGCTTATAAAGCTGCCTCCCAGGGCCACGGGAACACCATGCTGAGTAAGGGATAATAATAATTAAAACTATTTCGGGGTGCCTGGGTGGTTTATTCGGTTGAGTGAACAACTCTTGATTTTGGCTCAGGCCATGATCTCAGGGTCCTGAGATGGAGTTCTGAGTCAGGCTGCACTTAGTACAGGGTCTGCTGAAGATTCTCACCCTCTCTTTGCTCCTCTCTCCTTGCTCATGCTTTCTTTCTCTCTCTCAATCTCTTTCTAAAAAAAAAAAAGAAAGAAAGAAAGAAAGAAAGAAAAAAAAAGAAAAAAGAAAAGAAAAGACCAAACTATTTCAACATGTAGTTAAAAAAAATTGTATCCTACATATAATTCCACTTGCCAGCCAGTAATAACCCTGAAGGGTGCCTGGGTGACTCAGTCAGTTAAGTGTCTGACTTTTGATTTTGGCTCACCTCATGATCTCTAGTGGTGAGACTGAGCCCTGGGCCTGGCTCCCCAGTCACACTGGAGTAGGCTTGAGATTCTCTCCCTTGCTCTCTGCCCCTCCCTGCTCAAATACAATCATACAAATAACCCTGAGAGGTAGGTAGTAGTGTTATCCTTAGAAAGAAAAATTGAGTAACAGAAGATAAAATGTTTTCTGAATCACTGAGATACAAAGGAGAGCCAGGAACCAAAAGCATGTCTTCTCCAGGTACCTCATTCTCTGAGCCATGCTGCACCTCCCTAAGCTACAGAACATGTGAACTGGAGGCTGAAGGGTTAAGGACGTTGCTTTTTTCCTTTTGCCTTTTAGAGCCTGTAGCCTCCAGGGCACTAAAGTATTTGTTCATTCATGCAATATTTACTGAGCACCTAGTATGTGCCAGGCGCTGAATAGACAACAGTGAACAAAGGCTGTCCCAGTTCCTGAACTCACAGAGCTTGCATTCTGGTGGAAGGCACAAACGAATAATTTCAGACAGTAAGTACTACCAAGCGACGTGGTACAAAATAAGGGGCAGGTAAATTTAAATAGAGGTCAGAGAAGCCATTTCTGAGAAGGTGACATTAACTGAATGAATGAATAGCAACTTCCAGATTAATTAATTGTTCAGTATAAGACGTAACTAGTTTTTGCTGGCCATTAGGTTGTTTATGGTTCCGAATACCCTTGTACCTTATGTTGCAGATGCTCAAAGGGCAAGTGGTAGAAGGCAAAGCATAACAGAAAACCCTCTTCAATTCTTTTACTCCTCTGACCTTGCCTTTGCTGTCAGGGTCACACCCCCCCATTGCCACGCCCATTCTTCTCCGTCGGACGTTCCAGGCCTGCGCAAGCGCAAGAGAAACTGCCATTCCTAGTGGAGGGCGCTGATCCCACTATAGAACGCATGCGCCCCTGGCCTGTAAGCCCCGCCCCGACCCCAGCGCCGGCTCGCGAGCGCCTGCCGTTTCTCGGGGCGGGGCGGGGCGGGGCGGGGCGGGGCGGGGCGGGGGGCGGGGTCTGGGTGGGGAGGCGCGCGCCGGTGCGTGCGTGCGCGCGCGCCGCGGGCGGGCCAGTGAAGCCGGCGGTCCTGGCACGTGATCCGGGAGCGGCTTGGTCGCTTGGTGGCTCGGTCTGTCTGTCCGTCCGCGGGTGCCATCATGGCGGACGCGGCCAGTCAGGTGCTCCTGGGCTCCGGCCTCACCATCCTGTCCCAGCCGCTCATGTACGTGAAGGTGCTCATCCAGGTATGAGTCGTCGCCATCCCCTTCCCCGCCCGGCGCCTTGTTCAGTCGCCGCTGCCCTCGGCGCTTGGCGATCGGCTCCAGCCTTCCGGGCCTCTAGTACCCTGAGATGCTGCTCCTTCCCTGCCGCCTCTTCCTTCCCCTTAGGGACAGCTTCCACGGCCCGCGGCTCTTCTTCCACTGTCCGTGGGCCTTTCCCAGGTCTCGCCTCCTGCCAGGCGGGGAGGCCCGATCCTTTCCCCGCAGCCAACTGCCGTCCTGCCCTGCCTGTCTTGGTGGCTCTCTGAACTTTGTTTTTTCTTCCCTGAGGTTGATCCTGGCCAGTTGCCACCACGAGCTTCCCAGCCGTCCCCTCCAGCCCCCTCTGAAATCAGCATTCACCTCCTCTGCCCCAAACGCAAGACAGGAAATCTGTTAAAGACAAATTTGAAATTCGAGGGGAGCCAATACTTTATTAGCTTTTTTTTTCTTTCATTTTTATTTGCTACTGTTACTGCTGCTATTCTTTTCCGAGATTTTAGCACCAGATACCCAGGTAAACACAAGGAGCGCATTCAGAAGTGATAATGAAGTGGTTGCTGATTCAAATTTCGGAAGGATTCACTGAGCTCACTGAGCGCTCTCCAGCAGCAGCCCATGTGGCTCATGACAGCAAAAATCACCTCTGTCTGAGCTGGAAATAGTTCAGATGAAAGAGTTCAAGCATTTATGTTAGTTTTTGATCTACTCTGAAACAATCCTTAGATGGTATTTTATTCACAGGCAAGTAAGCCAGGTTTTAACTAGTGATACCCTATTCCATAGTATTTTCAATTGCCTTTCCAGAATTCCCTGTGATGAGCATGCCATTCATTTTTTTAAAACCTTTGTTGAAAGTTGACATAATTATGTCATGCATAGTACCAAGGAAGGAGCAGTTGTTAGAACTCCTGTCCTCACTTGTCCTACCTTTCTTTCAGAAGTATGCACGACACTAGGGAGAGCCACATTTCTTAATTTGAGTTGATACTTCTCTAAAATACGTGTTGCCAGGTTGACCCGTTGGATTCAGATTCCGTATGTAAAAGCCCACTATAAATTGAATTATTTTAACTAAGAACAAAGACTTTGATTGAAATGTGCTGTGACATCTAAAACAGAATTGGCACATTTGTAGCTAGATGGTGTCTTGAGGTGACGTTTCACAATAAATCTGATATGAGCCCATTACTCAACTTCTTCAGGAGGCAGGGTTTCGTAGTGACATTGAGAGCTCTTGCTTCAAAAATTTGAATATCCTTAACCCTGTTTACACAACTTCTATGTCACCAAGTGTCTTAAGGGTTTTGGTGTAATTTTTAAATACTCAGTTTTAAAAATAGTGGTATGGTAACACTTTGAGGGAGCTCAGGAATTACTTCATTGAACAGGTTAAGAATTACAGCAGTAGTGGATCAAAGCCAAGTCCTATGTCATTCATTCTCTCAAGTTTCCCATTACTACTAAAAATGCTGAATATATTGTAAAACTAAAATCATAATCATTAACTGTAAAGTGTCCTTCATTAGATTGTTAATGAAATGACAGTCTGCTTATTTAATATGGATTTAGCTTATAAATATTTCCCACATGAATTATCCAGCGCTCTCTGCATTTGCCTTTTGAGTGTTTCATCTTGCTAGCCAAATACAAAGTTGATGGTGGCTTAGTCTTCTGTTTTGTTCAAATATAAAAAATGCATTCAGGGCACCTGGCTGACTCCGTGGGTATAAGTGTCTTTTAATCTCTCAGCCGTGAGTTCAGCCCCACTTGGGTGGGTCAGTCAGTGCTGTGTCCCAACTCTCGGTTTTGACTCAGGTCATGATCTCAAGGGTCGTGAGATTAAGCCCTGCATCAGGCTCCATTCTCAGTGCCAAATCTACTTTAGATTCTCCCTTTGCCCCTGCCTTCCACCCCCTTCCCTAGCGCATCCATTCTCTCTCTAAGATAAATGAGTAAGTCTTTTATGTAGGGACTCTTGAGTGGCTTAGTGGGTTGAGCGTCTGCCTTTGGCTCAGATCGTGATCCCGGGTTTCTGGGATCCAGTCTCACATTCAAGTCCCACATTTGGTTCCTTGCTCAGCGGGGAGCCTGCTTTTCCCTCTGCCTGCTGTTCTCTCTGCTTGTGCTCACATACTCCCTGTCTCTATCAAATAAATAAATAAATCCTTTTTAAAAATCTTTTTTTGGGGGGACGCATGGGTGGCTCAATGGGTTAAAGCCTCTGGCTTCGGCTCAGGTCATGGTCTCAGGGTCCTGGAATTTAGCCCCACATCGGGCTCTCTGCTCAGCAGGATGCCTGCTTCCTCCTCTCTGCCTCTCTGCTTACTTGTCATCTGTGTCTGTCAAATAAATAAATAAATAAAAATCTTAAAAAAAAATTTTTAAGTGTTAGGTTTGCTTTAGAAAGTATTTTTTTTTTAAGATTTTATTTATTTATTTGAGAGAGAGAGAGACAACATGAGACGAGAGAGGTCAGCGGGAGAAGCACAGCAGGAAGCCCTATGCGAGACTCAATCCAGGGACTCCAGGATCATGACCTGAGCAGAAAGCAGTGGCTTAACCAACTGAGCCACCCAGGTGCCCCTGGAAAGTATTTTTGATACTCCTCAGTAAACTGTAGCTTTCCTAACACAAAAGTTCCCTTATTTTATATTCAGTTTTATATTTGTCCATCTCAGCTACATGGTTTACTTTGTAGAATTTGAACCAAAAGAAAGCTTGGAGTTTATTGAAACAAGTCTTACCAGTTGACAGAATAAGAAACTGACAAGGATGATACTTCATGATTGCCTTGGAAAACATACACTACACTGCATTTTCACTGGGGTTAAAAATTATAACCTTGCAGCCAATACATTTTGGGGAATATTGCTTGGTATTGATATATTCTCTTGTTTTTGAAGGTGGGATATGAGCCTCTTCCTCCAACAATAGGACGAAATATTTTTGGGCGGCAAGTATGTCAGCTTCCTGGTCTCTTTTGTTATGGTAAGTGTTTTTGATTTATTTGGAATTTGGAGGACATTGAGAACGGTGTTAGGTAGGCAGGAGTTATAGAAAAAAAAAGATCTAGAAAGCCTGTTTACATGACATTTCTATGTAACCCTTTCTTCCAGCTGGAATTTAAATCTCTGACTTGTGTTCTCAGCTCAGCACATTGCGAGCATCGATGGGAAGCGTGGGTTGTTCACAGGCTTAACTCCAAGACTGTGTTCAGGTGTCCTTGGAACTGTGGTCCATGGTAAAGTTTTACAGGTAAGAAAATCAAGTAATCTTCCCAAAGATTTCGATTTCTTTTTATGCAGTTTGTTTTTCTGACCAAGAGCAATTTCAAAGATATATTTAAGACCAGGTCCTTTCTTCTCTTGAAAACATTTACTTCAAATACCCATTCTTAAGTCTTCCCTGGGATGCAAAGGGAATTTGTATAAAATGAAGGGATAGATTTTGATCTGCAGTCCTTCTTCCTCTGAACCAGTCATTCTGAGCAGAAACACTTACTTGATCTCCTGTGTAGCTCATTTTATTTCTTCAAAGAAGGAAGGAAGCTGATTGAAGCACATATTTCTTTCTGGAGTTATTTTCCTCTTATTTCTAACATTACCGCTAGTAAAATGTTCTCTGTTACAAGCTTATTTTTTATGTATTTATTTATTTATTTTTAAAAGATTTTTATTTTATTTATTTCAGACAGAGATCACTAGTAGGCAGAGAGGCAGGCAGAGCGGGGGTGGGGGGGGGAACCAGGCTCCCCGCTGAGCAGAGAACCCAATGCGGGGCTTGATCCCAGGACCCTGAGATCATGACCTGAGCTGAAGGCAGAAGCCCAACCCACTGAGCCACCCAGTTACCCCTTATGTATTTATTTTTTAAAATATTTTATTTATTTTTAAAGTAAGCTCCACTCCCAGAGTGGGACATGAACTCACAATCCTGAGATCACAAGTCGAACGTGCTATGGACTGAGCCAGCCAGGCACCCCAGAAACTTGTTTTTTAAAAAAATTAACAAGGGGCACCTGGGTGGCTTGGTGGGTTAAAGCCTCTGCCTTCATCTTGGGTCATGATCCCAGGGTTCTGGGATTGAGCCCCACAACGGGCTCTCTGCTCAGCGGGGAGCCTGCTTCCTCCTCTCTCTGCCTGCCTCTCTGCCTACTTGTGATCTCTGTCAAATAAATAAATAAATAAAATCTTTAAAAAGAAAAAAACTTAACAAAAGGAACGTAAAAGTCAGGACAGTGGTTATCTGTGGGGAGAGAGGGGGGAAGGGATCATGCATGGGGCTCAGGGGTAATGGAAATTATTTTCCTTGACCTGGATCATGACTACATGGATATTTGCCTTTTAATTATTTATTCTGTTTTACATTTGTATTTTATGCACTGTTTCTGCTAATGTGTTATGTCACACAAATTTGGGGTTGGGGAACACCTTTTTTTTAACCTCACCAAAGTACACATCAGGCTTGCGGTTACTTTTGGGAAGTGGGGGAAGAGATGAGAGGTGGAACTTCGTCTGTTTCTGTGGCGTTTTATTTTAAGAAGGCCAGAGCTCTGAAACAAAAGGGGCAACTGTTAAACATGTTTAACCTTGGTAATGGATATATGTAGGTGAATTATTAATTTTTCTTATGTTGGCAGTGTTTCCTAAAATGTTTGTTAAAATATCAAGGTTATGGGGTGCCTGGGTGGCTCAGTTGATTAGGCGTCTGCCTTTAGCTCAAGACATGATCCCAGGGTCCTGGGATGGAGCCTCACATCAGGCTCCCTGCTGAGCAGGGAGCCTGCTTCTCCCCCTGCTTGTGCTCTCTTTCTGTCAAATAAATAAATAAAATCTTAAAAAAAAAAAAACAAAACACCCAAAAAACCAAGGTTACATTTCTTTCTTTCTCACGGATCCTCTTGTTTTGCCAGCTTCTTTTCACCTCCAATGCCAAAGCTAATGATTCTGATGGTGCTGGTTTCTCAGTTTTACCAATTACCATGTAGGTCAAACAGAATGGCCCTTTATTGTATTTATAAAGGTGTTATGAATACAAATTCCGCACCGCTTAGAACAGTCCATGGGAAGGTATTTAGCATGAGTGTGGTGGAGAATATAAAACTAAGGGATTTCTGGTTCATTATTCTGTCTCCTACTGGCACCAAGGTATGTTAGCCTCTGTGCTCTTAACTCTCCAAAAATTTCACAACAGGGGCGCCTGGGTGGCTCAGTTGGTTAAAGCCTCTGCCTTCGGCTCAGGTCATGATCCCAGGGTTCTGGGATCAAGCCCCGAATGGGGCTCTCTGCTCAGCAGGGAGCCTGCTTCCCTTCCTCTCTGCCTGCCTCTCTGCCTACTTGTGATCTCTGTCTGTCAAATAAATAAATAAAATCTTTTAAAAAAAAAAAGTCACAACATATGCTAACCAAATCTATGTATTACTATCAACCTAGGTAATACATCAAATGTATTAAATTCCAATTGGTTACTGTTTATTTAAACAATACTTGGCACAGTCCTTCCTTTACTTTCGTAGGCTTTAACATTAACCAAGTTCTAATGTTTTATCATCTGATGAGCGTATCTTGATTTTGTTAAAGTTTCATGATCTAATTGGCTTAGATTTTTTAAAAGTTTTTATGTGAATTCCAATTAGTTAACATACAGTGGAATATTAGTTTCAGGTGTACAATATGGGGATTCAGCACGTCTATACAACACCTGGTGCTCATCACGACAGCCGCCCTCCTTAATCCCCATCACCCATTTCACCCATCCTCCCCCTCCCTCTGGTAACCATCAGTTTGTTCTCTCTAGTTAAGGGTCTGTTTCTTGGTTTGTCTCCCTCTTTTTTCTTTCCCTATGATCGTTTGTTTTGTTTCTTAAATTCCACATATGAGTGCTAATTGGCTTAGATTTTAAATTCTCTTCAGCCCTCCTTGATTTCTGAGTGGGAGAGGTTCTCTAGTAGTTGCCTCACATGGAAGCTGTTTCACCCCTCAGTCATTTCATTATTCTCTACACGCATTCTTTTTTTTTTTTTTTTTTTAAGTAAGCTCTGTGCCCATTGTTGGGCTTGAACTCAGAAGCCCCGTGACACTGAGATCAGGAGTTGCTTGCTGTACCCACTTTACACTTACTCTTCTTGTCATGCCTGTGGGCCAGATGTGGAAACTTGCAGGTGACCCCTGGGTCTGAGTAATGGAGTCTTAATGGGCCCAAGCTTTCGGTGGATTGATGCCTGGCCTTTTGTCCCCAGCCACACCCTCCCCTGGGCTCAGTGAAATTGTTGCCATTGCTTAAGTGAGCTTAATGGGAAGGCATCTGTCACGGAGTCAGCTGGTTTTGTGTATAGACTTAGACCAAAAGTAAGAGTACTGCTTGAGAACAAGTTCCTTTACCTACAGGAAAAGTAAGCTCGAGTGGAATTAAGCAGGTGCCCTGAATATGTGTTTACTTGTGGCATGACAGGGAATTGATTCTATACTTACTATCAAAAGCAGCTTTTTGCATCAGGAAAAAAGACCAGTTCAGGGTTGTTGAAATTGTTAGCCGTTATAAGAAAGAGTTCTGTATACCTGAACAAGAATGAAATTGAATTCTGTTCAGAATAATGTAGAAAGGACAGGTAGGAAATTTTACTAACAGGGTAAAAAAAGCTAAGTCTAGAAATGAGCAAGAATTTTTAAGTACACGTGAAACTGAAACTATTAGAATTACTTTAACTAAAGACCTGGAATTTGACCCCAAAACATCATTTTGCTTCGTCTTGAAATTTATTCTCTTTGTTCTGAATTTTTTAAAAAAATCTTTTTACAGAAGAAAGTATTGTCTTTTTTTTAATCTGGTAGGATTAGTGGCTCTATTGTCTCTGATTCTTTCATTTCACCTATCCCATCTTCTGTTTCTAAATAGCCCACAAATAGTATTTCCTCTTCCAATATAGTCTGAACTCTGGCAGTATTCAGTATTTTGGAAGAGAACAGAATCTTCTCTCTTGCTTGTTTTAGAAACAGTCAGATACAAACAGAAAAGTGAGACAATTTTTAGCTATTCTGACTTGGCACCAATTCTCTGTTCTTTTGTACAGTGAAGAAAAGAGCCTTGCAGTAATTTGGTATTGGTACTACTTTTTTTTTTTTTTAAGTGAGGTAAAATTAGTACATAACATTTTTAAGTTTCAGGTGTACAGCATTGTAATTTGACATCTATATTTGTTACAGAATGATCTTGTGGTTAACATCCATCACCATACAATTGACCCCCTTTCCCCACTTCGCCCATCTTCCATCCCCTTCCCTTCTGGTAACCTGTTCTTCCTGAGTTTGGTTGGTTGGCAGGTTGGTTTACAGTCCACATGTGAGTGAAATCACAGCTTTTGTCTTTCTCTTTCTGATTTATTTCACTTAACTTGATACCCTCAAGGTCCACCCATGTTGTCACGAATAGCAAGATTTCAGGCTCCTGGGTTGCTTGGTTGGGTGGCTGCCTTTTGCTCAGCACATGATCCTAGAGTCCTGGTATCGAGTCCTGCATCCAGCTCCTGGCTCTGCAGGGAGTCTGCTTCTACCTCTGACCTTCTCCCCTCTCATGCTCGCTCACTTGCTCTCTCTCTCTCTCTCAAATAAATAAATGAAATTTATTTTTTTTTAATGGCAATATTTCTTTTTCTTTTTTTTTTTTTAATGGCTGAGCAGTATTCCATTGTGCTTAGATACCATAATTTCCTTATCCATTCACCCATCAGTGGCCATTTAGGTTGTTTCTGTATCTTGGCTATTATGAATAATGCTGCTATAAACATCAGGGTGCATATGTTTTATCAAATTTAGTGTTCATATTCTCGAGAGGTGGAATGGCTGGATTTTATGGTGGTTCTTTTAAAATTTTTTTTTTTTTTTTTTAAGTAAGTAATCTCTATGCACAGGGTGCCTGGGTGGCTCAGTCAGTTAAGCATCTGCCTTTGGCTCAGCTCATGATCCCAGGTTTCTGGGATTGAGCCCCACATCAGGCTCCTTGCTCAGTGGGGAGCCTGCTTCTCCCTCTCCCTTTGCCTACTACTGCCCTTGCTTGTGCTCTGTCTCTCACACTCTCTCTCTGTCAAATAAAACAATATTTTTTTAAAGATTTTATTTATTTATTTGACAGAGAGAGATCACAAGTAGGCAGAGAACTGATCCAGGGGTGCTGGGATCGAGCCCCATCTCGGGCTCCCTGCTCGGCGGGAAGCCTGCTTCTCCCTCTCCCACTTACCCTGCTTGTGTTCCTTCTCTCGTTGTGTCTCTGTCAAATAAAATTTTTAAAAAACAATAAAAAAATAATCTCTGTGCACAACATGGGGCTTAAACTCAGCCCCAAGATCAAGATTCACATGCTTTACCAACTGAGCCAACCAAGCACCCCTATGATAGTTCTTTTCTTAACTTTTTGAGGAACCTCCATACAGTTCCACAGTGGCTGCACTAGAGTACATTTCCAGCAACAGTATCAGGGTTCATTTTCCTCCACATCCTCCCTAACACTTGTTATTTCTTGTCTTTTTGATGATAGCCAATCTAACTGGTGTGAGATGATAGCTCATTTTGCTTTTGGTTTGCATTTCCTGATGATGAGTGACGTGGAACATCTTTTCATTTGCCTCTTGGCCGTCTGTATATCTTCTGTGGAAAAGTGTGTGTTCACATTCTCTGCCCATTTTTTTAATCAGGTTGTTTGGCAGTGGTCCTGCTTTTTCATGAAAAAGCCATGAGGCTTTTTCCATAGCTTTAATGTTAGGTTATGTTTTTACCAGCTTATTTCTGCTAAATGTGTATGTGTAGTAAATAATGCCCTTGGATTTTTAATTTTTAATTTTTTTTTTTTAATTTTAGTTTTTGGTTTGTTTTCCTATTTCTTCTTTTAGATAAGAGTTTTCATGAGCATTTGCTTGTTCCTCCAGCTGGCCAATATATGAAACTTAGCAATGAGATCATCTTAGAGACAGTTCTTTCCAATTAATTGGAAATAGAAAGTATTGGAAATATGCAGCCCAAAAAAGGAAAAAGCCAACTGTTTTATTCTCATTTTATGTCCTCTCTCAGTGACACTATGACAGCCCTAATCATCCTTTCTTTTCTCTTCTTTGTAGCATTACCAGGAATGTGACAAGGTTGAGGTATGTTGGAGCTGATTTGTATGCACGGGCCCGTTTCCCTTGCAAGTTGTTATTGCTCTTTGGTCTTTTTTCAGAGAAAGGACAAGCAGTCAGTTCCCCTTTCATCTCAGTGAGTGTTGGCATACAGGATGGCCACCAGTTTGAATAGTTCTATTTAAAACCATCAAGATATGGGTGCCTGCCTGGCTCAGTCGGTGGAGGGTACAACTCTTGATCTTAGGGTTACAGGTTCAAGCGCCACGTTACATGTAGAGATTACTTTAAAAAAATAAAACCTTTAGGGACACCTGGGTGGCTCAGTTGGTTAAGCGGCTGCCTTCGGCTTGGGTCATGATTCCATGGTCCTGGGATTGAGTCCCACATCGGGCTCCTTGCTTGGCGGGGAGTCTGCTTCTCCCTTTGCCTCTCCCCCTGCTTGTGCTCTCCCTTGTGCTCTTGTCTTCTCTCTCTCTCTCTGACAAATGGATAAATAAAATCTTTAAAAAATAAAAAATAACACCTTTTTAAAAATAACAATCATATCAAATTAAAAATAAAACCACCAAGATACCTGTCTTCTTTCATTTTGATTTCCAGGATTTAGGCTCTGGAAATGTAGAGAAAGAAGTCACACCTTCCTTCGACCAAGTTATCAAGGAGGTAAGAGACTGATGATGTCCTGTGCTGTTTCCCTCACTCGCAATGTATGCAATGTGGCAGTTTGTGGAGTCAGGATCATCAGGCCCATGTGTTCAGCATTTATTCCAAATAAAATAGACCTTCGGTTCAATTTGGGCTTTTCTACATGATACCATAAAAAGGAAGAAAAAAAAAAAAGCATTGCTTTCTATTTGGATTAGATGCATTTCAAGGAAACTAATTTTGTCCACTCATTTCATGTGTGAAATTGAAGAGGTTTCTACTGAAAGTCTTCTAATAGAGGTGTAAACCTCTGGCACAATTGTGTTTAAGTAGTGGCCTGCCCCTTCGTGTGTCAGATAACATCTATCAGGAGACGCTTTTACAACGTTATTCTGACTGGGGATTGTTCCTTGTACCCATTTCCCGTTCCCTCACTCTGTCAGTGGAGTTTGTTTCGTGCCTGACTTAATATTTATGGCTTTCAAAACCACTCTTTTATTTCTTAGTCTTTACATTGTTTTATTGTCTTTAGTGAGATCACAGTCTTCTAGTGAATGCTGCCTTCTAAAACACATATTCCAAAAGAAGCAGGTCTAGATGTCAAATGAATCAGCTTTGTTTTTGGTAAATTTTCTACTTTTTTTTAAAAGTAGAGGTACGTGTATTAATATGTTTTTGTGGTTTTTTTTAACTTGAGTTCACCCATCCTGTGACACGGGCTCTTCTCAGGACTATCATTGGCGCAGGGGCGAGGGATATCTTAACTAGATGACCGAAGGTGATGTTTAAATGCACAGATGAATAACGGACCTGCTGTCTTCACTACCTGCCTCCCCAGTGTTGTAATCTAATTTTCTCTGCCACTTCTTTACAGAGTCCTGGACAAGAAAGATAAACTAGGATAAATAGCGGCTCTAAGATACTGCACAGTTACAGGGTTGGGGTGGAAAAACTAGTCAGAGTTGCTCTGTTGGCACAGATTAAACAGAGCCTGACATTCGAATAACAGAGATCACAGACTCTCTGAAATCACTCTCAGGGAGAAAGCAACTTAAAAATCGAAATACCAGGCCTTGTGGTTTTATCCCAGCTGGGTTAGTGTTTAGCTAGCGAGCCTCTTAATCTTTGGATTGGTTGTTCCAATCTGTAAAATTGAGAAGATAACAGAAATCTGCTTTGCACGTCAGTTTTGAGAAGTAACCATAACAGAACACTGAAACCCAGGAGGAAAGGTAAGAGAGGATAACAGTGTATTATACCGTACCACATTCAGGGCAAGGGTGCTGTGCCGCCCACATTACTTCTCGCAGGAATCCAAGTGTCATCTGTTTAGGTTTCAAACGTGTGTGTTGATTGTTTCTAGACGACTCGAGAGATGATGGCCCGTTCTGCTGCTACCCTCATCACACATCCCTTCCATGGTAGGTTTACAGTTGGTGACTGAAATCTGATTTGTGACCCACCTTTCATAGCATGGGCTCTCCTGACCTCCTAGATAGGTTGATAGGGGAGTTCACTGAAGTGCCTTGAATGCGTGTTCTTTGTTTGCCTGCTCCTTTTGGCATTTGTCCAGTTTATCCAGAGAGCAAAGTGTTTTTAGATGGAAAAACTTTTTTCTTTTTCAGGGCTATCAAAGTTTATCTCGACATAGTTTTAAAAATCTTTTCTCTGTTCTGCAGTGATTACTCTGAGATCTATGGTACAGTTCATTGGCAGAGAATCCAAGTACTGGTAAGTGTTTTTGTTTTCCCATATTCAGAGAGATCTTTCGAAGTGTTTTATATTTTAATGGTGCCTTAGAGTTTACAGAGCAAATTGAGAGATCATTTGTTCTGCACAAAAATGAACGAAAAAATGGTAAAATGGAAGACAGTGGCCCAGGCAGGTTTAGGAACCTTCCCAGGATCTCAGAGTAAGTTGCAGAGCCACTGAAGCCAAAATTTACCCTGACTCCATGTGACTGCACCCTTGGGTAGTCCTGTCTCCACTCCTGTCTCCAAATTCAGCTGTCTTTGCAGAGTGAGAGTGGCAGAAAGGGAGGGTGGGGTATAAATTTCCTTGTCAAAAGTGATCATTGAACAGTTTTTTTTAATAGCTCCAAAATAATCTTCATGTATTTTTGCCTTTCCATCTTCTGTACCTAGTGGACTTTATGATTCCATAGTAACCATCTATCGTGAAGAGGGCATCCTAGGATTTTTTGCGTAAGTAAATTGTTGATTTACATGTGCAGTTATTTGTGGGGGTGGAAAGCTTTAATGAAAATCAGGACACTACTCATTGTTTAATCCTTGGAGAAAATGTACTCTCGGGGTTTACTTCATGTGACACTCTGTTAAAGCCCCTCAGACTTAAATTCTGTTGTAAAGATCCCAGACTTTGCTTCTGGACGTCTAAAACATTGGATATTAGGGTTTTGGTTTTTGTTTGGGGGTTTTTCGTTTTGTTTTCAGTTCTGTTAAAATTTTGTTAAATTCATTCCAAGTTTCTACCTTTATAATAAGTTCCTATTGTGCAGTAGATAAACTAGAGAAACTTAATTTTTGAAAAATAGGAAAATGATCTTCCTTATCCTGAGAGTAATACATTTTTGCAAGGCTGTATTCACTCCCTTGGGTTTCCTTTGGAAGAACTTAGACTACCACTCTCGTTCTTCTTTTAATAAGGAAAACTAGAAATGGTCCTCTTTCATTTTCAGAGTATTGCCATGTAACTGGGATTTTTTTGTTTGTTTTTTAGTTTTTTTGGAGTATGATAACCTGGGAGGGGGGTCCCCTGGATCACTCAGCTGGTAGAGCATATAGCTCTTGATCTCAGGGTCTTGAGTTCAAGCCCCATGTTGGGCATGGAGACTACTAAAAAAAGAAAGAAAAAGAAAGAAAGGAAGAAAGAAAGAAAGAAAGAGAGAGAGAGAGAAAGAAAGAAAGAAAGAAAGAAAGAAAGAAAGAAAGAAAGAAAGAAAGAGAAAAAGTAAATGGTCTAGGAGATAGGATAGCTATTAAATTCTTACTTTAGAGATTAGAAAAAGTTGGTGCTCTGGGAAGTTCATTTGCTCTGGTCACACAGCTGGTGAGTGATGGACATGGCATTTGAACCCTGGTCTTCAGTCTGTGGGTGATGTTCATCCTGCTGTGCTGTGCTGCATCACCTCGGCCGCTTAGGCCCTGGGAATCTGTTTTTTGACGTCCCTCACCCATGTCTGTTTGAGCCATTCTCGTTTTGTAATTTTGTAGTCACTTTCGGCCCTGTCAGATCTGAATGTCAAGTAGCTTAGCCAAAGTCATATTTAAGTCTCTCCAAAACAAGCAGATTTTTGTCCCCCCTGCTCATAGTTCTTAATAGTCAGGTGAGCCCATTAGGTGAAGCTTTGAGGGCATAGAGCTGGCCTGCATTTGTCAAATGGGAATGAAAGTCGTTGGAGATTAACCTCAAGTACAGTTACATTAACTAGGATGAACTAGTCTGTACTAATTCCAGCATTTGTTGTCTTTTTTTTTTTTTTTTTATTTGACAGAGATAGAAATCACAAGTTGGCAGAAGTAGGCAGAGAGGCAGGCAGAGAGAGAGGGAGAAGCAGGCTCCTTGCTGAGCAGAGAGCCTGATGTGGGGCTTGATCCCAGGACCCCGAGATCATGACCTGAGCTGAAGGCAGAGGCTTAACCCACTGAGCCACCCAGGCGCCCCATGTCTTTTCAGTTCTCTTGAAGACTTTGAAATCTTTCTTTGAGAAGTGTTTGTATTGAGTGGATTATCTTTTTACTGATCGCAGTTCTTGGCTCTTATTTTTCTTATTTCTTCATGTAGGGGTCTTATTCCCCGCCTCCTAGGTGACATCATTTCTTTGTGGCTCTGTAACTCACTGGCCTACCTCGTCAATACCTATGCACTGGACAGTGGGGTAGGTGTGATCTGGATAAGATGTGTTGGGGCTGACTTTATTGTATTCACTGGGAGGCTTGGTTAGCTTCACAGTAACGTGGTGGGGCCCCTGGCTGGCACAGGAAGTGGAGCATGTGACTCTTAACCTCAGGGTCATGAGTTCAGACCCCAAGTTTAGGATGGAATCTATTTTAAAAAATGATAAAGTGGCACTTCATTATGTTTTTGCCAGACTCATTGTTACATGGCTAAACACTGTCAGTCAAGTTTTGAAAGGCTAATGGATTGACCTATACTATTTACCGTAGAAAGATGCACCTGAAAAAGTCCCTGGGGTATAGCCGAGTAAGCCTAAGAAATCTGTCCCTGTCTCTGTGCTGCCGGGAGACGGCCTCGGTATTGATAGATGATTTTTGCAGATACTATGAAGCAGGACAGTTTCATAGTGTACCAAGGGTTATTTCGTCCAATCTGAGACGTTAAAGGGATTCCTGGACTGGGCTTCTTAGGAACCTCAGCCTGGGAGGTTTTAACAGTTAGCCTTTCCTGGAAGCTGCGGGCCTCTCTGCACAGAGGCAGCCCCGTAGCATGGTGGAAAGTAGAACACACACAGGGAGGACTAAACCCACGCAGCACGCTTCTGCAGTACGGAGGCTGGTCTCTGCAGCATCTGGGACACAGCGGGGCGCACACAGAGGTAGTCACTTGTCCCTCGGATACACCATAAATATTGTTTCTGGGGATTGGATTTCTAGGACGTGGGAAAAGGTTACCAGTCTCATTGCCTTTTTTTTTTTTTTTTTTTTTTTTTTTTTTTTAATCCTGGGCCTATTATATTTGTTCCTCCGCCATCACATAGTCTCCTGCGAATTTGTTTCTTCATGTTGAATCAAGTTGATCATTTTGTCCCCTGCCTGTCTATACTCAGGGGCTCATACTCAGTATTTTATGTTTTCATCTTGAAATTCATTTTCTGGCTGTCAAAGAAATTAAAAATTTAGAGATAGAATAGATTGAGATGGTAGGAGACAATTCGCCCTTAACATCATCTTAATTTTCTTACTCGTTCTAATACAGATTTTTCTTCCTGTTTTAGGTTTCCACCATGAGTGAAATGAAGAGTTATTCCCAAGCTGTCACAGGAGTGAGTTTTTTAAAATCCTCTTGACCTAGGGATAGTTGTGTTTTGTTTCATTTTCTTTTTAATTTCACCTGGGTCATGTGTTATCACTGCTTTAAGGCAACGAGATGTCTCAAAGGAGAGTCTCAAGTTTGTTAACGTCTGTCAGAGGCGAGGATAACCCAGAGTCCCTGCGTCACAGGAACGGCACTAACAAGCCCACATGGTTTGGTCTATTTGGCTTTCAGGGGGGTGGGAGGGACATGTGGGCGTTTCTCACCACGTCCTAGCCCGCAGGCCTCAGGCCTGCTTCCCCCTGCTGATCTGCCCCGGAGAGCTTCACCCTCTTGAGTCATGTGGCGTCTTCTCCCTCTTGAGTCCTGGTATTTGACTCCCGAAGTAGCTTCCATCGTCTTTAGAAGGACATGCATAATTTCTTACTATCTCAGGGATGTTTTGAAATGCTTCATTGTATTTAATGGCGTTTACTTTTTCTGTTAAATCATGTCCTTGAGTTTACTTGAAAGAAGACTCAATCGCAGTAAGAGAAGCCTTCTGGTCTTCAGTTAAACTGTTGGATAATGGGGATGTTAGGAGGAGGTATCCTGTTCAGGCTCAAAAACGCGTAATTTCTTCTTTCCTGGGATGCTGAGAAAGCCAAACCACCGTTGGAGTGTTGACCATAGTGGGAGGCAGAGGAAGAAGAGACTAAAGATTCAGAATGACCTAATAACTTAGCTGTCTTTTTACCACTTTACAGTTTTTTGCCAGTATGTTGACCTATCCCTTTGTGCTTGTCTCTAATCTCATGGCTGTCAACAACTGTGGGTAAGTGCCTTGCATTTCTTATCCCATTCACCTGACAGAGCAGTCCGGGGAGAGATTTGAGGAAGAAAAGTACAGTTGATGCCATTACTAGATTTCCTGAATTTCTACTCTCTCCGCTCCATGCACCAGCAACGGTATCAGCTTATATTCTAAGCAGCCCCCTCATATCCTCTCTTAGAATAGAGAAGGGCGCAAAGACTATTTCTCAAGTGCTTACAGACAGTGTACGCTTGACTGTGGTTTAAGTGGGATTGTGATCAAATTACTGGATTTCCACATTCTTCCCTGTTTTTCCTAGGGGCTGCATGGAGAAAGTAAGTTTTAAAGAAAGAAAAAGTAGGAAATTCGGTTCCTAGAAATGTTTTTTCTTTCTTTCATGGGAAGGTTTTTAACCTTTCACTGTATGGGTCGGGGAGGGTGGGTGGCGGTATGGCGTGAATACCGCTGATTGCCAGCTTCTAGATGCCAAGTGCCTGCACCACACTGAGCAGAAGTTTTGCCTCTTGCTTTAGTTCATTGTTCGAATATAGTCCCCTACACAGTGTGCCATTAGACCTGTCATGGTTTTCAAACCAGATGTCAAGCAAAGAGCCATGTGGAGTTTTAAACATAGTTGTATTCCATATCCTGTCGTCTTCTCTTTGTTTTGTGTCTTAAGACCCTGAGATCAAGAGCTACATGCTCTAAAATTCCAAATTACCAATCACCTGGGATTAGTAGGGCAGTGGCCACATTTTAGCTCAGAGCATACACGAAAGATGAGTTGAATGTATTATTATTCCTTACAGATTTTTATTTTTATTATTATTTTTTAAATATTTGTTAATTTGACAGAGAGATAACAAGTAGGCAGAGAGGCAGACAGAGAGAGAGAGGAGGGAAGCAGGCTCCCCACTGAGCAGAGAGCCCACTACAGGGCTCGATCCCAGGACACCGGGATCATGACCTGAGCCAAAGGCAGAGGCTTAACCCACTGAGCCACCCAGGTGCCCCGTCCTTACAGATTTTTAGGGAGGAAGTGATTCTGGGTTCTACCTGAGTAAAGCATGTGGTCGCCAGTTTTTAGGTTCTTTTGAACACTTAGGTTTTGTTTTTTGTTTGTTTGTTTTTTTAAGATTTTATTTTTTTATTTATCTGATAGACACAAAGAGAGCACAAGCAAGGGGAGCAGCAGAGGGAGAGGGAGTAGCAGACTCTCCAGTCATCAGGGACCCTGATGGCGGGGCTCGATCCCAGGACCCTAAGATCATGATCTGAGCCAAAGGCGGACGTGTAATGGACTGAGGCACCCAGGCGCCCCACCACTTAGTTTTTAAATCTCCTTTCTCTGTACTTTAATCACATAATTGCTATATTCTAGAATTACAGTCATTCTCAAAAACCTGGGTGTTTTAGAAGATTCATAACTGGTTGAAGTTTGTGTTTACTTGTTTCAAAACCTAAAGACGAGGGGTGCCTGCCTGGCTCAGTCGGGGAGCAGGCAACTCGATCTCAGGGTCATGAGTTCTAGCCCCACATTGGGTGTTGAGATTACTTTAAAAAAAAAAAAAAGAAAGAAAGAAAAGACCTAAATATGAGGGAGGGAAATCCTTTCTGGATGCTTTTTTTTTCCCTGCTCCAGTCCATTGAAACTAAAATCGCCTCTTGGGGAACTTTCTAGGTAGGAGAATATTTTGACCAAGATTTATCAAACTCTTGGGGCACCTGGGTGGCTCAGTGAGTTGAAGCCTCTGCTTTCGGCTCAGGTCATGATCCCAGGGTCCTGGGATCGAGCCCCAGATCGGGCTCTCTGCTCAGTGGGGAGCCTGCTTCCCTCCTCTCTCTCTCTGTCTACTTGTGAGCTCTCTCTGTCGGATAAATAAAATCTTTAAAAAATAAAAAAAGATTTATCAAACTCTTGAGAGAATGCTTTGGAAATATTAATTTGAATGGCTCATTTTTTTTTTTTTCCCCCTGTTTCAGGCTTGCTGGTGGATGCCCTCCTTACTCCCCAATATATACTTCTTGGATAGACTGCTGGTGCATGCTGCAAAAAGAGGTACTTCTGTCTCATTCTCTTTCTCTCTCTTTCTGTCTCCATTCTTCCCTCCCTCCTCACCCCTCCTCTCTCTCATACTTTATTTTGTTTTTGTTTGTTTTCTTAAATAATGTCTCTGGAATCCCGGGTTAATTTTTGTAGGTTGCCCCTTAGTTACCAGTTATGCACCTTTTACACTGTTCTGTGTGTCACTCCAGCACAACAGTAAAGTGTGCTGCGTAGAAATATCAGGAGGGGTCATGAATTAAGAATCCCTAGATGTAACCGAGAAACCATTTGAGTGATCACATTCAAATTATAAATAAGGTCTGGGTAGATGATTCTCCTGGATGTTAAAACGATGGCCCCAATTTCAGATTCTTTTTTTCTAACGTCACCTCTTTTTTGTAAATTCTCAGGATCTCCTTATATATTCATGTGTTTTTCTCCAGTATAGTAGAGAGGAAACTGAGAAACGAGAGGTTGTTGATGACGTTCTTTGTCATAGTGATGATGATGGAGCTGGTCTCTCCTAGTCTTTTTAGAGAATGATTTTGTCCAGACTCCAGTTTCTTCTTTGTTATTGCTGTGAGGTATGTCATCTGCAACCACAAATTCTCAGTCCAGGCAAAGCTTTGTTAGGAACCAAAATAATGGGTGGCTGTGCACTAAATTTAACACAGGATCACATTAAATGGCCATCAGTTTTAAGCTGTTTTGAAGTGGCACACACTTTTTCAAAGATTGTCGAAGCTAGTGTATGAGGACTCTCTTTATCACGTTATATCATAGCACTGGCAATGCCTGTGAGAAAGGCCTCTGTTCACAGAGCTCAGGCTTCCCCAGCCTGACCTCCAAAAGAAAAGGCCTAAGTGCTCCTGTAGTTGCCTTTACCCAGCACCCATGCCAGGCAAGCCCCTGTGATCAGGCTGGAATGCTTGGATGATTTCCATACAGACCTAATTTGATGTCCTGGGTTTCATTCTGAGTCTTACACTTTTACTGGGCAATCTCCTATTGTGGTTCCCATTTAAAAGGAAAGATGGACCTCTTTTCCCTACTTTCTAAGCCCTGCTGTAGGAAGGAAGCAGATAGAAAATGTATTAGGGTATCAGACACCTTACCTGGGGAGCAGTAAGTCCTCTAAGCGCTTAACACAACAAATCTTGATGGGGTATTTACTGTATATCAGGCATCACGCTGAGAGCCACCTGTGTACCAGATCCTGTAATCCTCAAAATAACCGTATGAGGATAGGTACCATTCTTTATCATCCCACTTCACATCTGAAGAGATTGGGACTTTGAACCATTCAGTAACGCTAATTGTATAACCCAGGGCTACCCAGCCTATATTTGTGGGAGCAGGATCTATGTGCAGTCTAAGTTCAGAGTCTGTTCAATTAAGCTTACAACATTATTACTCTCGTTGTAAGATTTTAGAAGTATTTCCTAAAGCTCTGACCATTCCATTGAAAAGTAAATAAAAGCTAGCCCTTCATGAGTGGTGGGACCATGTCAGCACCCTCTGTGTATTGACTCATGATAACCTAGCTAGCAAGTGTCAGAGCCAGAATCCAAACTGTGAGTTCTGTGTAAGGAAGAGATCCTTGCCTTACACATGTGGCAACATCGTAGTTAGCTTCCAGAAAGCTCGGCTGGAGCCGGAAAGCCCCAGTCTCACCCTGGCCCATTTAGTCACGTCTCCAGAAAAGTGTCCAGATGCATCTCTCTGCTGATTTGGACTAGCTGACCTCATGTTCACACTAGACTTTATTTGTTTTTATTTTATTTTTTTTTTCCAGGGAAATATGAGCCGAGGAAATAGCTTGTTTTTCCGGAAGGTCCCCTTTGGGAAGACTTATTGTTGTGACCTGAGAATGTTAATTTGAAGATGTGGGGCAGGGACAGTGACATTTCTATAGTCCCAGATGCACAGAATTATGGGAGAGAATGTTGATTTCTATACAGTGTGGCGCGCTTTTTTAATAATCATTTAATCTTGGGAAAATGGAGGTGTTTGGTGTCTGCCTTTTTTGTTGTTTTTATCAGCACTACATTATTTACCCCTGATGTTCCCCCTTTAGTTATTCTGAAATGGGACGTTTTTGCTCCAGACTCATTCTTTGTAAATGGGGGTATTTTCTCAAAAGGTATAGGCAGGTTGTCATGTGATTTGAGTCTTAATTTTAAGGCTTTGTAAAACGTAGAATACATTCTCAAGAAGAAAGAAGTAATTCTATAAAATTTTAAGAAATGTAATAAGGTAAACTATATGGGAGGTTATGAATTACCTTTTCTTTAGTAGACCTTAAAACCTCAGCATCCGCCAGAATCTGCCTCCGAATATGTGCTTCTAAGCACGTTTGATTAACCCTGTCTCTCATCCTTGAAAAAGACAATCCATTGCTAATGACCCTGGAAAATCTCCACACAGGCTATCTGCTTCTTCAGTAATAGATGATTGCCAACAACAACAAAAAAGGGAAAATGACAGAGAACAACCAGGATTTGGAAAGCAAGCCTATTGGCTTCTCCCCCCCCACCACCACGAAAAGAAATTGTCATATAAAATATGAAAAGTGAATACTGCAGCAGTAGCCCCTTCTCTAAGAGCTAAGTGTTTGCCAGTCCCTAAATTGTATCATTATACATTTCCATGTGTATATAATATTTTCCGTACAGATTATCATCTTAATAATCTTCTATTCAGTTTTTGTTTTGTTTCTTTGTTGTTGTTGCTGAAGGTAAGTAGTTTGCTTTTCCTTCCTAGTGATGCCCTTGGAAAGTGTACTTAAAACTTCATGCCTGATAATGCACACTTAGGTCCACGGGGCGCTTAGGATACTGACCACCTCGCATGTCATACCCTCAGGCATGTTAGCATTCATAGGAAGAAAAAAAACATTTTAGAAGGAAATCATTTCAACTCAAGCATACAGCTCCTATTTACTCAGGCCTTTTAAAGCAGGTTCAAATGCTCGAAGATGAGAAAGCATATGGTTTCACTTAAATAATCCACTGGGATTTTTCCAAATGAGTAAGCACTTAATTTGCTGCTGCTCAGATTTCTCTATCAAAAGAGCAGCACCCATAATATCAGAGTGAGCTTGCAGGGGTCTCCTCCCTCCCTCAGGGTTTAGGAATACAGCCTGAAGCTCATGAGCAGCCTACCTTGAAATGTCTTTGATGTCTCTTACTTTGTCTCAAAAAGTAATGTAAATTTTATATTCTATTCAATATTATCTGCATTTGTTTTAATATAAAAGTGTTTTGCATTACCCACTTTTTTCCCCTCCAAAAAAATCTTCAGTAAAGATGATCCAGGAAAATGTGCCATGTTTATTATCCTGTGGCTTCCGTGCTCATACATACCGGCCTATACCTAGTCAAGAAGCTTTTTGGACTGGAAGAACCAGTCTGCCACCAGAGGGCACCATGGCTTCGATTTTTGCTGATGCAGGTTGGGCCATGCAGGATTTTAGGAAGGCCTGGAATTTTTCTAAGTGCTGTCCAGTCAGTCCGTCTGACTTCTTCCAAGCTATAGATCCAATAAGGGTACTGTACCAGTGGTCCTCCATGAACTTGTATAGGCTGTTAACATAATCAGACGTCTGAAGTTATTCAAGGGTGAAATACATGTAGGTACTCTTAAGATCCACCTGCAAGAAATGATCCTGTGTAAGAACTTAGATAAGAATCATCTAGTAAGCTGCACCTGTGGAACTGGGCAAGTGGTTTGCCGTGGCAGTGCTGAGCTGAATTGCCAGGAAATGGACCCCCCAAAGTGTGATGGTCATTGAAGCCTTGATTGAAGAAAAGAATCTGGGGGTTTCTTGCAGCTTTTGGAGTGGCTGTAAAAATAGGGCATACAAGCAGCCTTAGGGTGAAAGAAACTTTAAACATAGCCCTCTGTGGGGCTCCTGGGTGGCACAGTCGGTTAAGCCTCCGATTCTTGATCTCAGGTGTTGATCTCAGGGTCAGGAGTTCGAGATCCGGGTTGGGCTTCACACTGGGCATGGAGTGTGCATTAAAAAACAAAACCCATAACCCTATATTCCAGCTTCTTACTGAACCTAAACTCAACATTGGCTTTGCTATAATTTTCTACTCCAAAAATAGCCGCCTTTCCCTCTCTGCGTTGAGATTCTCCCTCTATGGTGAGATTGCATCCTCATGCCCTCTCTCTCTGAAGTCTCAGTCCTCCCGACCGGATGAGGTCTGCCTTCAAACCCCGCTCCTCCATGGCTTATAATTACAGTACAAACTCGTCTGACAAAGCGGAAACTGCACCTGTTACTCACTGCTAGGTTTGGGGCGTACACAGCAATGGTATTACTTCTTTCTGATCTGAAAATCTGTGGGGGTCAAAAAATCATATTTAGCCTTTTAAATTAGGCCCACCAAACATCAGCCTTTCTGGGCTTTAGAGAAAAACTAGCCTGTCACATCACAGTCCATGCAGCTGGTCACTTTAAGATCCTGTGGCAGGTTAAGGGAGCAAGGAGAGAGAAAAACATTGGGAAGGAATGAAAGTAATGTCTGTCAAGCCTGTCATGTAAGTTTTAATTCTCAGAATCTTTGGTAGAGGAGGTATCCCTACTTCAGAAAGAAAGAGAATTTAGGAATAAGGAAAATTAGTAATGCATTTAAAATTACATAGATAATTCCGAGCCGGATTCACACTGGAATCTTTCAAATCCAAGGTATGTTTTCTGTTTCGTGGAGGCTATGAAGTGCTAAGAAAAAAAGTAGCCAGTGAGCCAGATGATGAGTAATTCAGCCATCCAGGCAAAAAGGCCCTGCATTTTGATCAAAGCGGCGAAGTCAAAAAACATGCCAGCCAGAGAGTAGAGTAGAATGGTCTCAAATCAGGACAGACCTAGTTCTTGACTGCAGAGTGACAAACTGGTGAAATAGCCAAAAGTAGGAATGATCACCCATCGCTTTTCCCAACCATCCTGATAGTTGATGCAGATGGAAAGCTGAGTTACTGTATGGTGAGGATTCCTAGGAGTACCTTCAGTCCACATGTGTGGACTCCCTACTACACTGCGGGGTTAACGTTTCTTGAAAGTGATGAATGTGTCAGTTCCTCTCGTGGATTTTTCTAGAACATCCCTGCCTATTGAATGGGTTCATTCAGGCTGCCTCCCTTAGTGCCATAGTGATTTATATCTTTGGAGGTTTTTGTTCTTGTTTTTTAGATGTAGACAAAGATGTGTTTTCTCTCATTTGCAGAGATTTTTAGGCTTACCTAAGGATGTCACATGCGACCTCTCATTTTACTTTTTCTCCCTCTATTGATCCCTCATCTTACTGTCTTTTCAGACCAGTGATCCAGAATCTTACATTCTGTTTTGTTTTTTTTTTAAAGATTTTATTTATTTATTTGACAGAGATCACAAGCAGGCAGAGAGTCAGGCAGAGCGAGGAGGAAGCAGGCTCCCCGCTGAGCAGAGAGCCCGATGCGGGGCTCGATCCCAGGACACTGAGATCATGACCTGAGCCGAAGGCAGCGGCTTAATCCACTGAGCCACCCAGGCGCCCCGCATTCTGGTTTTTGTACTAGAGGGAAAGTTGTGATTGAAAGATTCTTTTGTCACCAACCAAAAACTACCCTCTTTGGGAAAAACATCTTTGATGGTAACAGCGATTAATTTTGTAAGGCAACTGAGAGTGTTTTCCTTCCAGACACCTCTGTGCACATGAATCAGCTTCCTTATCTGTTTTCTGCCTAAAGCAATGTCTGGAGGAGGACCCCTAGCAGCGCTTGTGTTCAGTCTCCCCAGCAGGCCCTGCCAGTCTGCCGTGATTGCATGGCTGGGAGACAGAATCTTGAAAAGCCCATTTTCCTTAGTCTCATAAGTGGATTCCTCTGCAGCCCGGGCCCCAAATGTCCTGCCTGGGACCAATTAGGCAGATTTTGCATTAAAACCACAACTGTTCTGGAACCAACTTATTGCAGCCCTGACAATGTTTTCAGATAGATGCAGATCCGTACAATACACCAAACTGTGGGTGAAAACGGTGCTTCAGAGAGTGGCAAGGGCAAGAGGGAGAGAAACAGAAGTAGGACCAGGATGTGCTGGTCAAGATTCCTCACCGTCCAGAGAGGGAAAGCCATTCATGGAACAAGGCCTGTCCTCCCAAAGTCCACAGCCAGACGACGTGTGAGAAAGCTTTCCAGCAGCACCAGCTCTGGCCTGCCAAGGCAGCCAGGAGAGCGGACTCTTCTCTGGTAATGCCACATTCACATGGAAAAGCTATTCGGTATGGCAGTTTATTTCCAGAGTAGCCTAAGGAGTCGGAGGTTAGATAAGGACAAGAGAGAAAGTACCTACTTGCTTTCTATCCAGTCTGGGGCCCTGCCCTTCTGGCGTCAAAAGACTGGAGAGAATGTGCTTTGGCTAGAAACGAATGAGGAGGATGAAAACGGAAGGAACAGAGCCGCACCTCACTTAAGACTGCTCACCTCCCACTGGAACGCAGTATCCTGCCTTTCCAACCCTCTCCCCAGGGGCCCACATTTAGAGTTTGTAAATGCAGCGCTCCGTTATCAAGTGCGCAACCTGCACACAGTCCTGTCTTGGGGGCCAGAGGGGACTGAAGGCATGTCCTCAATCCCGTCCCATGGTGCTGGCTGGGCAGCAAGGGAGGGGTGCAGTATGGCAAGGACATAAAAGCTAGGAATGCTGGGAGGATTAAATGGAACCATGTGTGGAACAGCAAAGCCTGGTCGGCTGAAATGGCCCTCCCCGAATCTCCGCGCTCGCTGTGGTGGCTTGTACGAGGCAGTGCGTGCCAGCAGAGGCTGAAAGCAAGCACCGTGGGACCCACCAGAGGGCACGTTCACATCCCTGCAGGGGAAACTCAGGGAAGACTTCATGAAAGAGTAGCATTTGAGTTGGTCTTTTAAGGACAGTGAGGATCCTGGGAGCAATTTTCAGCTCCATCACTTAGCAGCCGCATGAACTTGGGCAAGTTGCTTAATCGTTTGAAGCCTCGGGCTCCT